CACAGTGGGGTTCAGTTACCCCGAGTGGGCACTAACACATCTCTGATATCCAGAGCTGCCACTTGGATGTTACAGTGACATGTGCCCCCTTTGCTGGCAGCTGTGGGCAACCTGTTGACCTTCTTTGCACCCCACCTAGCCTTTCTCTCCCTATAGATCTTTTCCTCTTACAAACAACACTCAAAGTACTAGACAGACCACAGGCAGAGGTAGAACAGTCTAGAAGACCATTTCACCCAAAGCAAACAAAAATCTGATCAGATAACACCAAAATCCACCACCACCACCACCACCACCCTTAAAACCAACCAATTCTTACTTATGGTGACCTCATGGGTTGAGAGTAGAACTGCTTCACGGGTTTTCTTAATGGTGGAAACGGTACAGGCGACAACCGTCACAGAAGCGGACTGTGAGGCCTTTTCTTGGCGGCGTTGCTGGCTGGGTTCCAACCATCAACCTTTAAGTTCGTAGTTGAGCATCAACCATTTGCCCTACCTTATCCTGAGGAAAATAAACCCAATACATGTAAGGCTTAAAGGTCTCAACAAAATATCAGCAAGAGCTTCCTTACCTCCTAGCCATGCACAGGTAGCTCTCAAGCAAGTGGGCACACAAGGGATCTCCGAGTAGGAACACTATTCCTTGAGCCAAGATTCCCAGTCCAAGGCAGTGAGGGCTTCAGCTCCATCTCTCACGATGTCCTTTAATCCAAAGAACAGTAGGAACGTTGGACAAGGAAGACTGCACCACAAGGAATCATGTAGCCTCTTGGGAAAAGCCTGTTGTTAGTTGCTGTGGGATGGGCTCTGACCCACGGGGACCCCATGTATAACAGAGCGAGAGTATCTGGTCCGGCCCAGGGATCTTTATGATCATTGATATGTTTCAGTTCATTGCGGCAGACATTGGTCATGTGATAGGTAGGTTTATTGTGCTAACCTGTCCAATAAGAACATGTTGGATTAATAAAGTCACAGTTTGATTAGAGGGCAAAGAGATACATGGCTCAGTGAGGCCCACCTCTCTCTCTCTCTTGCTCTCTGGTGATCGGTCCAGTGTGTGACTGCCCTATTAAGTTCTCTGCCTCAATTTGTGAGCTACACTACCTGTGGGACACCCACCTGCGACCGTGTAGCTAGACCTTGAGGTTCTTTTGAGACCTGCTTCACCACACTGCTGGTGTGTACATCGCTTGAGACGGGGACTGTC